ATGTCCGGCCGTCACACTAACTGGTCACTATATGTATGTCCGTCCGTCACACTGCCACATGACTATATGTATGTACGTCCGTCACACTCACTGGTCACTATATGTATGTGCGTCCGTCACACTGCCACATGACTATATGTATGTACGTCCGTCACACTGTCACATGACTATATGTATGTACGTCCGTCACACTGTCACATGACTATATGTATGTACGTCCGTCACATGCGGACGCCGACACCGACGTTTATTTCATATGACCCTAGACTTTCAGTCAAGGGAATATTAGAACGGTGAAACCTGAAGTTGTAAGTTTATATTCAAAAAATCTTTCGGTAACACTATAAATCCTGAATAAAATAGACATTTGTTTCTTTCCCGCCTTTCTTTCCTTTTCTGTCGTTCGCATACACATATTTTTACGTTAACACAAGTGACTGAAGGAAAGACCCAAACGTCTTATTTTAATCATCTCTATTTTGTATGCTAGCATCAGGGATCGCAGATCTTCTGATTTTGGTAGAAAAATTCTGATTTCTGTAGGTCTGAATACATGTGAAAAAAGCTCATATCTTTATCTTCTAAAGATTGTCGTTGAAGATACGACAATGAAAAATAAGTTTGGCTATTGCTACATCAGAGTTACCGGAACTTCGCCAATAAGACTTTCGCCAACTGGCCATTCGCCAACGGCGAAATTCCATCGTACTTTCACCAACATACCTTATGGATTTTTGCCTATTGGCGAGAATTCACATGACTTTTGCCAATGTATCTTACAGAATTTCGCCAATTGTCGAATGTCCACTGTACTTCTGCCAGTGCATTTTTCACACTTTCGCCAGTTACAGCGTAACTTAAATTTGTAATGAAAAAATTTCAAAGATTGTTTTATTGTCATCGACACTAGAGCTTGCAGTAACTCGGTTATATTTGAGTAGATCCCTGTCATCGATACTAGAGCTTGATCTGTGTCAGTCTCCACATATCTCAAATCGACATCCTTTCTTGATAATCAATGAAAGTATGCTGGATATTCGCCAATAAAGTACTGGATTTTAGTCAATAGTCAAAGTCCACTACTTTGATAAAGTAGTGGATTTTAGCCGAAGTGTTCTTGTACTTTCACCAATTGGCGAACGTCTACTGAACTTTCGCCAATAAACTACAGCACTTTCACCATTGGCGAATGTCCTGTTAGCGAAAGTCTTATTGGCGAAAGTCTTATTGGCGAAACTTTCAAGACTTGTCGCACATTCTCGATTTCCACAGTATATGCGACACAAAATTGTTTAGAGCGTATCTGTAATAGTATATGGGAATATTTTTTAAACTCTCTTAAGACTATGCAAACAACGATTATTCGTCATTTCCGTACGCCTCGTTCTCAGCAGATGTTTACCATAATGATATACATGTCACTGAAAAGCCCACATGCAACTTTTCTTTGTCTGGTTAAGAGTTCTTTTCATGAAAATGTGAAAGGTGAATCAGTAGTTTTTCAAATATAGTAGTATCAGTATCAGTAGTTTTTCATCTATATTGATAGATGATTGTTTAATTGTATTTATGGAAGATGTTTTAAATGAATCAACAACTGATGATGAAAACTTTATGAACTATTCGATAACATCGGCATACGTGAAAAGTTTCCCAACAATTTGCAGGAAAGATTGGCGAAGCATGATACCGACGTTACTGAATATACAAAAACTGCATTTATAATTGATAAAGATATTCAGCAACGATTAAATTCAAGTGCAAGAGAGCAGTTAGACCGAATCGAATTTTACAAACTTCATCATCTGTATTGCAACACAAATATGGACACAACAACAAATATACTGGTTGATTCAAAAAAACGAAAGTATGTTCTATAGGTATTTGATTGTATAATTGTCTTACGTGTTTCGTTTTATACTTTGTTAGAACATAATCATCAGGTCAATTTTTGCCAAGATCAGAAGTTTCGAATCATAAGGAAGAATATGAGGCTTCACCGTCATTATTACCTGAACAACATCAGCCAGCTGCCGATGACAAGGCAACAGTAACCACATTGATGCCAATCATCCAGTCACCTACCAGTCTAAGACAAGATTCAACTTGCAAACATTCATAGCTCTTTAAAGTTAAAGCGGTGTATAAGCTTTCTAGTGGTCTGTTGTGTTCAGTAGCATAAAATCAAATACTCGATCATACATGGGTTTTATGAATTTTTTGACATCTATTCGGAATAATCGATAAAAGTGTTCCTGTCTTGATCGCTTTGATCTGTTTTAGTTCGATTTGATCCGTGCACGCCTTCCTTCCGTTGATCAATCAGGAGAAATTCGATTCCACAGGCAGTATAAGCAAAATGTGATGATTTTTTTGACTTTTTTCTCTTGGACTTGTAATCCTTTGGATGCATAGAATTTTGTGTCCCTTTGTTTTTAGACTATTTTATCTCAGATACTTGCTTTCTTTGTTTATGCTCGAAGAAGTTTGTTTCTTCGTATGTTGTTTCTGTAGCTCTTATATAAGAGTCAATATTCGTTTATTTCTTTATTTATGCTTTGTTTTTCAGGAGTAATGAAATCAATTGAAAATCAGCTTGTGGATTCATCAACAACATCAGTATTTTCATCTTTGATCAAAATAGGAAAAGAAAATAATTTGCAGACTAAATCGGTAAGCCATCTTGCTGCCCAGTATTATTTACAAGGTCTAGAATGATAAATGCCTGCCTCTTTAAGTCAATTAAAATCATTCGACCTGTTCAGTCGACAGCGGTGAAAATTCCCGTTCTGGTGTATGATCGTAAACGTAAGGTTTACCCGTAGTTTAAAACCAACAAGCATGTCACCGGATATTTTCCTTTTTAGGTACAGATGCCACTCCAAATGTTAAACCACTGGTATCTATGCAGAAATGTTCTGCATCAAAACAACCATGTATTCAAATACTGGTCTCACCATTAAGATAGAAGTCTCTTCCCAGCATTTCGATAGCATCGCGTAAACGAACAATAGGTAACTTTTTTGAAAAGTCTGTGGCTCTACACATTTGTATTGAACAACTTTACTTATTTGTCTTTCGCAGTTGAGATAAATCCAGATTTGTGGAAACTCATCACGACTAGTGGAAATCCATCTCCAAAGGAAGATATGCAATTGTTGATGAAAACGCCTGCACAACTTTTGACTAATGTAAAAATTCATGAAGCGTCATGTGAAGAAGGTAGGCGGCACTGTTATCAAGTTTTGATACTTTCGTGCAGTGTGAATGTTTCTTAGGTGGTTTTGAGTATGAAAAGCCAAATCCGACAGTAGTAAAACAATCAAAAACTTCAGTTGTTGGTTCGAAAAATGAAATCAATGAAGGTATGAAATATCCAGGAAACCCACCATTGTCTTCTGATATATCTTGGTTGTAATTTTAGATGACTTGACCAAAAATCTTCCGATACTTGCTGTCTCATCTACGATCCACTTCTACGATATCAGCATCTGTAGAAAAAGAAAAAAAAATCATATAGATACCAAATCGGTAAGTGAACGACTTATTTCTCATATTCATCGCTCATACCTTTAAATTATTTGGTTGAATTTAGTCCATCACGTTTGCTAGTAATGAAGTAGACAAAGTTAAAGCAACAGCTGTAACCATTCCAAAAACAAGGTCGAATATTCCACGTAAGCGTATCTTTATTTTAGAAAACATTATTGATACGTTAATTATTATTGATACGTAATTATTATTGATACGTTTTTTGACCCGTTTTCACGTATTTTCTATGGGATATAACGCGTTTCATAACGGTTGTTTCATTTTCCGTTCTCATGCGTTTTTACTCCGTTTTTAACGGTTGAAAAAACGAACTAATCATTTTCCGTCTTGCTTTGCAGTCAGCCGAGTATATAAGCATAATCGAAATATCGAAGAAATATCATCGTCTTTTCGTTCTTTTTCAGTTTTAGATCATCAGTTTTGCACTTCCTTTATTATAGATTTTCGATGAAGTCCCACTGGATAGCCAAGTCTCACCTTTGGCTTCACGAAAATTCCGGAACGATTCAGGAGCTGCAGACTTGATCCCGAAACGCGTTTTTATTCCGTTTTTAACGATCAAAAAAAGCGTTAAATGTTTCATCTGAAACGCGTTCTAGAACGTTTGAAAACACGTCTTTTGTACGTTTTAACGCAAACGTAACGCGTTTCTGAGGCGTTCAAAGGACTTTTTAACGCGTTTTTCTTCGTTTGAAATGAAACATTTAACGCGTTATTGATCGTTAAAAACGGGAAAAAAACTCCTTTTAGGGCTAATTTTTGTCTGCCTGTGCCAGTGAATTAGTAATAGAAAAAAACGAAAAAATGCTCAAACAGGCCTATTCTAATCAGCATCGCGAAATTCCATATTATATGAAAATGTATTTGCAAGAGTGGTTTCTGTTATCGAGATAAGAAACGGAAACTCGTATCGGTAAATATTTGAGCAACATACACCTGTCAAGCATCTCTTAAACTTGTGAAAAGTATTTTTTATTAACAATAATGTTTATTCAACGTGACACTGTTGACACTGAAAGTGAATTAATTTGAATTTAAAACACAAATTATGTCAAATATTTCGAATAAACAGATGATGTTTGTGTAACACGATCTGTTAATATTTTACTAAATATAGGCAGAGGGCCAACATCGATGCTTGAACCACCGATATATATAAACGATTTTTCACTATACGGTACATTGCTTGGCAGATTATCAATTATTCATCAGATGGAGATACCATTAGATAACCAAATTTATCACTTGTCTTTGAAGGAAAACCGTAAATATGTCCGTTTTTATTAGTAAACGCTACCCAAGTGGGTTGTATTGATTGTTCTTTCTAGCGAAAATACTAAAAACAGGGTGATTGTCTTCTGCTTTTCTTCAAATTTCGAAGAAATATCATCGTCTTTTCGTTCTTTTTCAGTTTTAGATCATCAGTTTTGCACTTCCTTTATTATAGATTTTCGATGAAGTCCCACTGGATAGCCAAGTCTCACCTTTGGCTTCACGAAAATTCCGGAACGATTCAGGAGCTGCAGACTTGATCCCGAAACGCGTTTTTATTCCGTTTTTAACGATCAAAAAAAGCGTTAAATGTTTCATCTGAAACGCGTTCTAGAACGTTTGAAAACACGTCTTTTGTACGTTTTAACGCAAACGTAACGCGTTTCTGAGGCGTTCAAAGGACTTTTTAACGCGTTTTTCTTCGTTTGAAATGAAACATTTAACGCGTTATTGATCGTTAAAAACGGGAAAAAAACTCCTTTTAGGGCTAATTTTTGTCTGCCTGTGCCAGTGAATTAGTAATAGAAAAAAACGAAAAAATGCTCAAACAGGCCTATTCTAATCAGCATCGCGAAATTCCATATTATATGAAAATGTATTTGCAAGAGTGGTTTCTGTTATCGAGATAAGAAACGGAAACTCGTATCGGTAAATATTTGAGCAACATACACCTGTCAAGCATCTCTTAAACTTGTGAAAAGTATTTTTTATTAACAATAATGTTTATTCAACGTGACACTGTTGACACTGAAAGTGAATTAATTTGAATTTAAAACACAAATTATGTCAAATATTTCGAATAAACAGATGATGTTTGTGTAACACGATCTGTTAATATTTTACTAAATATAGGCAGAGGGCCAACATCGATGCTTGAACCACCGATATATATAAACGATTTTTCACTATACGGTACATTGCTTGGCAGATTATCAATTATTCATCAGATGGAGATACCATTAGATAACCAAATTTATCACTTGTCTTTGAAGGAAAACCGTAAATATGTCCGTTTTTATTAGTAAACGCTACCCAAGTGGGTTGTATTGATTGTTCTTTCTAGCGAAAATACTAAAAACAGGGTGATTGTCTTCTGCTTTTCTTCAAATTGAAACCTTATCAAAGAGAAAATAAACTGTACATTAATACAACGAGTTCAAAATTAAAAGGGATAGTTTTTGGATCAGAACATACTTTTTGAGCAGAAATAAAAAGTTGGCGTATATTCCACACCAGCTGATATCGGACTAGAAAGTGCCAGTTTTATAATTGATGGATGAATAACATCCTGCAGAAATTCTCCACGAAGTTTTAGAGACTCATTTTTCCTGCCAAAACACATTCAACAATTCTGGTCCATTTTAAGAAAAGATCCATATTTCACTTCTAATCTGTCTTCTCGTTTTCTTATCGTTAATTTCCTTTTGATCTTACAAGGCATATACGCTGTTCAAGAAATAAGAATTCTTATACTCACCTAATATGGATGAAATATGTTGCGCATTTTCTACACTGGGTACAAATCGAGTTTGTTTTGTTTTAATTGTACCACGATTGGATACTAATCGAATATGACGAGAATTTTTCGATATTGATAAATCATAACCGAGAAATGTTTCTTGTTGACGAATAAATATATTATTTTTTGTTTTAATAATTTTAAAAAGTGCTGTCAAAAGATTTGTCATATTGACATACCCTAATGTAGGATTAAATACACCTTTCTGTATATTTGAAAATGAATATTGATTATTTAATTGTTTACTACTAAGAGTTTTACATATTCGAGTACAACTCACATTCATCATTTTTTTGCTGAGAATTAAAGCACCTTGACTGGTATTTAACACTGTTCCACTTGACATGTTCGCGAGAAATTCTAATTGTCGCCAAAGTGATACAGACATGTCTTCTAGTAGAGAAATCAATGTAGAACTTGTGCCAAATGGTTGCCCAATGTTCACGATAACCTGCAGAGAAAAATGTAGCCGAAAAGTAATTTCCTACTGGTAGAATAAATGTGCATTAGACGAGAACAATTCTATAAAGCTCCATACACAACTTCTATCCGGGAAGATCTCGCTATGTCTGTCTAGCAGAGCTACCTTGTAAAATTGAAACTGGCGAACTTTTTCTATAAAAAAGAATAAAACTATCGAAAAACACAAAATCAATTTTGTATGAATAGAGACTCGAACAAATGAATTTACGAGGAAACCTATGGACATGTACCCCTCCGCTTTCGTTCATTCATTCATTCATAAGTCGATCAATAGAGGATAACAAGGCTGTAAAAAGCTAAAAAGGATTCGGGTCGATGGCTTTTCTTTCAAAAGTTATAGGCATTTTTCTGTTTTTCCTAGAGAAAAATAGAAAAAATATGGCTCTTCTATATATCTGTGATATTCATACAAAGTTTCACCTTTACAACTTATTCCATTCACAAGTTATTGAACTTTAAGTTTTCCATAGCTTAGCCCTTTGACAGGCTCACATAATGGCTTCCCAAGCGTCCGTTTTCCACTAGAACTGTTGAAACTTTCATAAATGAGATGGTTTTGATCGGCACACACAGAAAACTAATCGAAATTATATAACTTCAATGTTTTGTAACTCCGGTTTTCGAGGAGGTCTTTAGAGATCTCAGCATCGACAGCCAACTTGAGAAATCTTTTTTGTTTTCATAAACGAAATTAGACTACAAAACCATGTCATTTATGAAAGTTTCAACAGTTCTAGTAGAAAACTAACGATTTGGGAAGCCATTATCTTGTGAGCCTATCAAAGGGCTAATCTATGGAAAACATTCAATCCATTCACCTCGTTAGCTTTGCATTAAACTGCAAAACTAAATCCACTGTTTTGTGTCTATATTCTGTGCAGTGATTGACGTTGTGCAATTGACTCGACATTACCAGTAGTAATTTTTTTGGTATATTTTTTGTGTTCTGTGTTTGATATAAACTTTATTCTATACAAGCGGAATATATTCCATTATAGTATTCTAAACTAAAACTATCGAAAAACACAAAAACAATTTTGTACGAATAGAGAGTACAAATACCTTGAATTGTTTTTGTTCATTGATGGTAGCAATTCTCCAATTTGACTTTTTATTAGCTATATAAATTGCTGATAACAATGCAAATGACACTCTGTCAGCACCACTAACTACGATAATCAAATCATAAACTGCTTGTAATGTCAATAATAGTCGAAGTGATTATAGTATGGTGCTTTCAACCCACAAATGGAAATCGGCCGTGTGCTCCCCAATAAAATGAACATTATCAATAGATTCTCGTAAATCTTATTTTATCGTTTGTTCTTTGGCAAAATAGTAAAATCTGTCCCTTGGCCATATTTATCTAAACACCAATGTTTAACCACACCACCCACGTAGTATTGCTTGATAGCTATTGTTCGGTGTATCATTTGTACTTCCGTAAGAATTAACTTGTTTTAATTAACTAAATCTTGACTACTAGAATTACTCCCCTTTTAAAACCATCAGTTTCCACTACCATGGCTATCCGGCTCTCTCTTCGAGTCATGACAGACAAAGATAATGTGTGGTGAGATGAGTAAAAGAAATAATCAGTGTTATAAAGTGTATATACGAGAAACATAATTTATTCGTGCATAACCAGCTCCTCTGCTATAATATTGTTTCATCTGATAGCATGGATTAAGTTTACTCCTTCCACTACTACAGGGACACATATGTCCAAACAACGTCTAAACAATACCTATGGAAAATGAAAGCACTAAGAACTTTTATACTTTCGTTCTTTTGTTTCTTCTACATGCGCTACGTGTGGATAACTGTTTAGAACAATGAATTTTTGCTATATCGATGACTAATAGATGAAGAAGATAGAATAAAAGAAGAAGATGCGATATACGCTACAGTACTCGTCAAAAGTAGCGGGCCCCCTGTAACTCAAGAACCATGATAGATATGCGAAAAAACCGATGTTTGATTTAAAGTGACACCGAAAAACTCTCAAATATTTTTATCTAAGCTTTTAAAATGATGTGAACGGTGAGCACATAACATCTGTTTACTATTGTCAAAGAAACATCTGATTTTATCGGTACCTGTTTCGGTTAACCGACAATCGAAAAACTAAAACCAGAAGAAAGCACACGCAAATCTACATCGAGTTATATATAGCTACACTCTAAAGAAACAGATATTTTAAGAAACGTTTAAAGGGTATAACCATTTGCAACATATCATAACTGTTTGTCCGTTTCTATTTTGTGACCGAAAAACTGATTCTGGAGTTTAAACTACGCTTAACCGCGTTTTAAAAAACCAATAAAGGTATATTCAGCTGTGAAAAACATTGAAACGGTTATGATATGGTTTAAATGGTTATACCCTTTAAACATTTTTGAAACACGGTTTAACCGTTTTGTAAAATACGTTTGACAGTTTTTGAAAAAAGTTTGAAAAACGGTTAGTAATTGAATTATGTTTATTCGTTTTTCACGGATAAATGTATTTAGTTATTGCTATAAAAACTCTCTGGGTATTTTAAAAACGGTTTGTCTAAACGTTTCTCGAAACACTTTTCAAGGGTTTTTTCTCTCGTGGAAAACGTTGAAACGGTTATGGTACGGTTCAAATGGTTATACCCGTTAACCGTTTTTTAAAACACTTTCAAGTGTTTTATACTTCTATATAGCTTCATTCTCGAAAAGGTTATTTGACAAACTGTTTCCTCCCCGTAAAAACCTCAAGACCCACTGAGATAATGAATACAAACATTTATATTAGTATTTATTCTACAGATGTTCATTAATATATGAAATGTAACGCAACATCACTTTATTATGTACAAACAAAACAACTTTTGTGAATAGAAAAGAAAAGTTAAAAAACATGAGTTACACAATACAAGTAAAAACGCATCAACATCGGTACATCACGCTTGAAAATGTTTGTAAGAACTCTTGATAAGTATCTGTTCATCTGAATTACTGCTAAAAAGAGAGAACAAAAAGTATTCTGAAGATTTCCCATTTACAAAGATTACAGCAAAATTCCACGAAATTTTGAGTACTTTTCAAAAATGGTTGTATTCCCATTTGCAATTGCTTGTTCCACAGCTGAAGGCAGTATTGGAAGAACATAGTTATCGGGTATTGGCTTTTTCTTGGATTTTATGATGATATTATTATCTGTAGTGATGCTGTTTGTGGTTGTATCTGGTACTGTTGGTATTCGTGTTACAGTCAGATCTTCATCAACAATTTTTGTATCTTTTAAATTTTGATCGGTGTTAAACAGTAACCAGTTTATTAAATCCGACGACGCCGCTAATAAATGATTCGGATCTCGACAAGATGATGATTGAGTTAATGATGATGCTAATAAAACACTTTGATCTTGATGAGATGATGATAAATGATTCGATAATGGTTGTTGAGGTGTAGACGATAAAACAGAACTAATATTTGGTGAAAATAATCTGTCACCATAATGAAGAAACTTAACCTGCTCAGTAAATTTTGGCAAAATACCACTAATAATTATTGGCGTTGTCATAAACGCCAATGTATTTCCATCCACTTGTTGATCTAAAAATATGAAATAAACAACATTTTATATAGAAAATTATGTTCTTTCTTTTTTCTTTCAAGATAAAAGCAAGTACTACCACCGCACTACTATCTTTTATGTCCTACAATGTATCCTCAAAAACATGTGGAGTTCTCTAGATATTCTGAGTATTGGCTAAAACCTACTTTAGCTGGACAAAAATAGAAGAGGAAAAATCATGAAGAAAATTGTCTGTTTAATGTGGAGTAATACGCGATGATAGAGTGGCATACGGTGAACCTTCCATATAATAAATATCGAGTGTTTTATGGTAAAATTTTAAACATTCCGGGTAAATTGCTTTAATAACACCACTTGAACGAATTTCATATGAATGTTGTTCTACAAATGTTTCTGTTGTCAGTTTTTCAACAATAATAACCCAGTTCGATTTCATTTTAATAATATGATGAATAAGATAAAGTAATGGTGTATCTTCTTTGTCAACAACACCATAAAATTAGAATTGTAGAAATTAATACAGCAGCTACTTTAAACCGCATTTTATTATTATAATAAAATGCGGTTTCAAGTAGCCGCTGTATTAATTTCTACAATTCTAAATTTATTGCCCTTAAATTGTGAAAATGTATCGAAACATCATAAATAATAACAGAATTCTTCTTGTAACAAGTATGATCATGAATCAGTTGTCTGCATGCAAGAATTGTTGTTGTTTGATCTAAACATTCAATATTAAATTTCGTTTTCAACATTTGTTTGAAATTTTCATAATTTTCATAATTTTCCTAATTTCGAACCCAATATTTCATCAAACTCTTTTGAAAATTAGCATTTCGATAATTGCAAACAATGTTTATATTAATATCTTATTGTCAATGTTTTTGTGATGTTCTTAAAATTGCACGTTCTTAAGGCAATTTTTTTGAAGTAACGATGACGAACTTCGTACCGTATACACCAGAATAGTGTTGGCGGATCAAAACATTTGATAATATCGTGATATTCGCACGAAAAATGAATTTTTGGTGACATAAAATCTAATTTATCAGATCTAATTTATCTGTAATGTCGGCAAATATGACTGGGAATAATCGAAATAATAACAGTTTTTGTGCAGCACTTCCCACTAAATGTCCTTTGGTCATATGTTTTATTTTAATTGTTGGTGGTTGATCGGATTTATTATTTCGACCATAAATGAATGTTGATGTAAAAAAAAAGCTTACTATGAAAACAATAAATCCTTATCTTTGGTTTGTTGTTGTTGCTGTTGTTTAATATTTTCAACTAATAATGATATCATTTCATCTTTACATAAAATACGAAATAAATATTCAACAATTTGTTTCATTGGGACAATGCTGGAGCTATGCAAACGGGGCGCTATGCAAATTTTCACTTGGTCTAGTATTCTATTCGGCAGTTAGAATTGTATGATACTAAGTAGAATAGAAGAACATTTTAGGCCATATTAGTAGTGCATACTTTGCATTACTTCATTATGTTAAGAATTAAGTTGTTGGATAGAAATGATTAGAATAGTAAAAGATTACAGTAGTAGAATATTAGAATAGTAGATGACTAGAATAATAGATGACTAGAATAGTGGAATGTTAGAATAGTAGAAGAGTAGGATAGAAGAATAGTACAACAGTGCTTTTCAGGGGTACAGCCTACACCACCACAGGTATATATATTTGTTATATATCAAAGAAAAGCTTATTCTAAATGGAATTCAATGGCATAGTGCTTTGTAACACAGAAAGTGAAAACCCTTCTTAGAAGATAGGATTTTAAAAAGCCCTTGGGAAAATCCGTCTGGATTTCAAAATTTGAATTAGCAACGGATTTTCCTTTTTACACGGATAAATAGTCGCCAGTGTCCTCTAAAAAACGGAAGAGTCTGAAGTCTTCATTGAACATGGATGTGGTGTCGCATGAGGCTTACTGGAAGGGCTAGAACTGCTCTCCTCCGACTCCTGATAATCCCGACGCCAACTTGATTCTCTACTTAAAGTTGGTATAAAACCTTCACCACTTCCAAACATTTCCAGAAAGGTTTTTCAAATTGCCACGTACTTTTTATTGATTTTTAAAACTTCATTGAATTCAAAGGTAAAGGATAAAAATCTTCATGGTTTGAAGTAGTCTGCATCGATTTTGACCGAGTTATTAACTTTTAGTTTATGGGATTATAAGGAGTCAGAGGAGAGCAGTCTTGGCGCTCCCAGGATGCCATACCACAACGTTACATGAAGATTCCGGATGGTTTCCGGTTTTGAGAGGACACTGGAGAATATTTATGCATATAACAAAACAATACGTTGCTAGTTCAAATAATGAAATCCGAACGGTTTTTCCTAAGACCTTTACAAAATCATATCTTCTTCGTAGAACAGTAACTGTACGAAGAGTTTAAAAGCAGATAGCGAATCAGTAATATCCTCAAGCATGCTGCTTGTCCAATGCTAAGAAGTAAAGAAAAGTTATAGAAGTTATCATACGTTGCACTATACAAAAGCCATTTGTTTCTTACCAGCCAATCGTAACGTCGTTGTGGATACAGATAAAATATATAGTAATCACAGTTCAGCGCCGACAACGTGCTCTCACAATATCCTGCTACTATTTTTCGCACAGCTGAGCGCTAATATTCTCCTATTGTGGTATTCCCTATTCTCTTATTCTCCTTATCTTATTCTAGCATTCCAGTATTCTACTATTCTGGTATTCTAGTATTGTTCTATTCTCCTGTTCTTGTAATTATATCTCTGTTCTAGTGTTGTTCTGTTGTGCTATTGTTTTATTGCGCTATGGGCGTAAGGTTGATGAATGCATTTAATGCATAATTAATGCATGATTAATAGGTTCAAGTGTCGGATATTTTCCCCCTTAGAATAGTAGGATAAGCGATAATTTCTAAGTCCATGAAATTCGCCCAACCCTCATGTATTCTGGATATCTGGATGAGCGGACTTTTGAAATTTTGAACCTTCGATTTTCAAATCCCCAAACACTGTTTTTATTGATCGACTTTTTCGTAAATTTCCATTTAAAATCGATTTCAAAAACTCCTCCGTTCATCTGGTGTGTAATTTGTTTCTGAACAACATTTGTAACGAAACTTTTGTTCCAATATGCTTAAGATCCCGCCGCTCAAAGAGCTATTTCCGTCCAGGAACATTTAATCTTGGCGAAAATTTCAAACAACGTGTACCTTGAGGTAACTTAGTCATTCTAGTAATTGCAGCCTTTTATCACTTTTTTTCTCAGAGTTTTTTGGCTTTCAAAAGTATTACTTGGTTCTCACTCAACAGACAACTTTTTTTTAAAACTTTGACATGGAAAAATAACCTTTTTCACATAATCTTTTGTATTTTTACACCGCTGGTCAAAAGAAGTATTTTTATGAGAACTGTTTGAATGCTATGCATATAGTAAAAATTTCATCCACAGCGGGCGCATGATTAGGAGGAGCAAACAGCTTTCCCATCGTCGAAAATTTCGCACATCTGTAGAGCTGAGGTCATGCGTTATACAAAGTTTGACCTAAAAAACTATTTCCTAACTCATCAATTTCAGAATTACTATAAGTTGTTCTTCGGAACACCAGAATGACAGCAGAATATGCCTAAAAGATCCTGCATTAACAACACACGACATGTTCGAAAATGTCTTCCGTGAAACTTGGTATTCAATACAATATTAGATAGAAGAACTTTTTTTCCGATAATTATTTCTTATCCTTTAAACTCTGTCTTCATTGTATAATGCTAATTTGATCTCAAAATCTATCACTGTTCCAACGAAACACGTTGTCAATTATCTTCGCCTCTGACTTCGACTACCCGTGATTCATTTTATTTCCTCGTAAAAGAGAAAATTTAGTACAATGAATTTTGTAGATTTTGGCTCTCGAGTGTTCTACTACTTAAACAATGTCCAACATTTTTTATCAGAATCAGAAAGACTAGACAAAGTTTGTACATATTTTGCAGTCTTTCTATTAACAAGAATGCTTTCTCATATAACTATATATATATTAAGTAGAATCACAAAGCTACCATTATAGTTTGAAATGTAATACTTTATTGATAGAAAAAGGTTCCTTTGTCAAATTTTCTTTGTTAGCATATTTTATTACCTTTCTGTCGTGTATGTATACTATTTATTTACACACGGATAGAAACACTTTTGGGCTATTGCTTAACGAAAAACGTTAAAAGTAAATAGAAACAGAAAAGAAGAACGATAAAAATCGTGTCTTGTAAGTAACAGAAAGTATAAAGGCGTTGCTGTCACCATAATCCACTGTCGTCGTAACTAAGTATATTACTTATATTCACGCTCTGCACACATGAATGGCTGCTGAGAATTCAACTGTAAATGCGCCATGTAAATTATGTGAGAAAAGGAAATATAAATGCCACTATAAATTGTAAGTCACTCACAATAGAGCTGCGACATCATTTCTTTCTTTTCTCTTATCTCTTTTGTTTTCTTATCTTCGTTATATATAGTGTGTACGCAAGTTATAATAGTCTATCGATTTCTCTCCATACATGAGTAGCTCAAAGTGTCCTGTACAAGGTAAAAACAAAAGTCTCATTTTGCTTGACGAACAGTTTTTTGGGATTCTATTACTTTTCATACCGAACAGCGTTTTACAGTTGACTGAAACTTCATACATTATGCCGTCAATCTCAGAGTTCTGTCTTTTTCGCGGTGTCCCTGCACTTATAGCAAAGTCTCACGGAACAGTTCTCTCGGAAAAGCATTGTGCCGCTCAAATATCTGACTGTACGCCGAGATTATGTTGAAAACTGTAGATTTCTGCGCAAAAACGCGTCGTCCTGCACGCTCTGCAGAAAACGTGAAATTCTCGGAGGATTCAAAGAGATTCATCGGAGAATAACTAAGGAATTTCTTAAAAATATGGACTCTTTTGGGAATTTAGTCAAGCCAGTGGACCGACAATAAAGAAGAAATCACTGGCGAAAATCGTCAGCCACCAATACACAGAAACATGAACCGAGTGAAGAAAATAATAACGATTGAACAGTTGTATAATCAATAAAAACAATCACACTTTACATTTGAATAGTTGTTTTTACCTTGCGTTTATGAAACCCCAAGTTCATTTCTTTTGTAAAAAAAGTGTTCATGGCAAGAGGTATGATGAAACATGAACGCCTATGAGATAAATGTCTGTAATACCGTCGTAGAGTGTATGGGCGGATGGATGTGTTGGCAGGGATGTTTTCACTATAATCCTGAGTGAGCCCTAAAAAATAGAGTCCATTTCGATTTTTCATGTAAATCTGCTCAAAGTCTCTGGCGACTTTAAGTTGAGTTCTCTTATAATCCCTGGGGAATCCGTAATGAGACTGCTTAAGGATTTTGTTAAGGAAGTCCTGGTCGCGCCAAGACTTTAATCTTCGAACGAAAGGCAAAAAGAATATAATACTTTCACTTCTTTTGAAAGCATCCTGTTCTATTTGAAAAATCAGGGATTTTTTTCCATAAACTAAAATTAGAGGTTCAATACCACAGATAATATCCTATTTGAAACACAGAAGTTATTTGTTTTTACGCTGTTTTATACGAATTATTATGAAGTCACTAGCTACTGGCTATAACTTGTAAAATATCAGATCTTCAGAATAAATATGATCTTTGACATTAGATAAGATTACACCCGTGTTTCTAGAGCACAGTATGCATTTTTCCATAGGCCAGGCAGACATTTCCTATAGAAGCAATCCGAAAGCCTGCAAACACTTTTTTTGTAAGTTCTCATATATACTCTTTCCAATGGTGTGTTTTACAAAACTTTCATCCGAGTTCTCCGAAGATCGGGTCTCCAGAAAACCCACGTATAAGTATTCAGTAACTTTATACGGCGCAGCATTGGAAAGAGCATATCTGAAAACCTATAAAAAAAATATTTGCAGGCTTTCGATTGCTTCTATAGGAAATATCAAAATCCTTAGCCGAAATTGTTAAGCTGTGCTTCGAGTTTAGTGTTTCGTTAGATCCAACTAGTTTTGCTGCTTTAAAAACCTATTAATTGCACATCATTTGATACAGTTTCATGCCGTGATTCTGAATATGTCATTTTTATTAAATGAAAACATTTCAGTATCGAAATAAATTGAAAACACTTGAAAACCCGATGGTTTTTTGAGAAACCTGTCATTCGATCCAGGAGCATTTATGCATGTTTATGCAATCACCATACATGGAGCACACCTAGATGAACATTCTGAAAAACTTTGAACAACCTGTGACTTCAGGGTTTTTGAGGACATTCATTTTAGTACACAACGTTGTTTTTCGTCGCACCTCCGTGTTTTAGCTAATTTTGGAGATCACTGTAAGAAAAAATTGTTACGTCGCGATCACAGTTTTCTCTTATAATCGCGACATGATACACCGTCGTGGCGCGTCTCCCGTGCTAATCGTATTCACCGTTTTGCTTTGCTTACGCGCCCGGTATATTTATTACTCTTACTGATTTTCGAAAAATTTTTAAAATTTGGTCACATGTTAATAATAGCTTACGATATGACTAATATAGTCTTGAGTGGTCGCGTCGCACGTACTTCATTCGTCTGCATTCGCGTTAAAAGTAGCGTGGTTCATTTACTGATATTAGACGCAAAACGCGAATAAATAGTAGCTATAGTAAAATACTTGAGAGTCATTGATTTTTGTATGAGCGCGAAAAAATAGCGATCGCCCAAAATCGCGTTATTTCGCGAGTCTTACAGCGAACACGATCCTACCGCGAATTTGTAAAGAGACTCGCGTCGCGACATGCTATAAGAAAGTAGACTTGGGATGCCATCTATCGGTAGATATTAACTTTCGAATGCGTATTTAAGTTGAGACAATTCGTAAAAATACTGTCAAGCTAACCTCCTACATTACAAAAGGTCTGTGAATATACCCATAGAAGATTCGGTATCTCGCCGAAACATAATCGTAGTGCGCTACTGTTTTCGAAAAAACAGTAAGAAAAGATAAAAAGCAAGAGTAAATTACCGTGGTATAAAAAAGTACTTGTTCTACACATGATCACGCCAGATTACTTAATTACATAACGTATTACCATTGGAAGCAGGAGATATAAAGTTTTAGAAGGAGTTTCGTGAAAAGTACTGTTGCTTCCAGACATCATACGTAATTAAAACATTCTTTCGTAATTACAATCCACATGTCTTGACTACTACTTAAATTAAAGTTATGCCTACAAAAATAACTAGACTAACCTTGGTGTAGTTGTAGAGGTGAGAGGAAGGGATAATTTACAGTTGGATGAGGACGCAGTGTACTGTTTTGAATGCGGTCAACTGCTATATAAGTGGAACGAAGAGATTCGAAAACTAGCGACACTTTATTTTAAATTTCACCGATTTCTTTTCTAGAAAGTAGGTCACTATCACCCCGTCTGACCTGGGTCACTATCACTTAACATCTTCATTTTTCTCCTACTTTCTTTTTTATGTTGTTCGTTATATTATCAACCTGTATTTTATTTTACTTTTACATACTCTAGTGTTCAAAGCTAGACCTATAATAATTTTTTCACAGGCCTGATCTGAAAAGAATCAATGAAGATATAACCATACAATACATTAATATTCAAGGACACAAAGTAAGGTTTTATAAAAATGAATCCTGTCTACAGATTATTTTCTCGTCCTTTTAAATCGTGCCTAGTCAATTGACTGGGCTACGGTGTTCCTATAGCAGGTGTTCCACTGTGTATTACTGTAAGGTATGGTGGCATTATAGCTGGTGTTCCCCATAATGAAAAAGTGTTCCACCATGTGACCAATTTGGTCTGTTCACAAATTACGTGATCAAAGTACTTTTTTTAGATTTAAACAATGAATTTAGAACAATAATGAAGATTATTTTGTACGATAACGTCGAATATCCTCGAGAATAGATGAAAACATTGGTTTATGTACAGAACGATACCAGAATTCGGCCAGATGTGAGTCTAATAAAGTGGTTCCTCGCATAGTTCTTAAAATTTTTGTTTTCGCAGCCCCACAATGTTTCAATAAGTTGTGTGTGGCAGCCGGTATGTGGATCAATAAAATTTTGAGAATGATTTACTGTCTGATGGTCGTAACCATACGTTGTTTGCAGGCGTGAATAAGCTTTCCATTCGTCCGACCATATAGTAGTTCCAGGATAAACGTTTTTCCAAATAATTGGAAGCAACGTAGCTGCATCACACCGCTGCACATGGAAAAAACGTGCCTCGTACCCCTCTGCCGTTGGTTGTGCGATTCCAAATATCCAGGGACCTAAATGAAGAAGATTCCTGATAAATATTTCTCGTAATCACAAAATATCTTACCATCTAGTCTGTCTCCATAATTTCTATTGTTATTTGCCTGAGTTTGATCACTGCTGGAATCCGAATCATCACTCGAACTGGAACTTGAATATTGAACAAGACCATTGTGAACATTTGGGAATTTTTGTTCATCAGTAAATGAGAAAAATGTGTTTTTGCGAACACTTAATTGATTTCGACATTGTCGATTAGTACATCGCATAGTTGGATAGACCTTCACAGTACCATCTTCCAGTTTCTTCTTTCTTGCACCATCAACCATCGAGGATCCACAATGACATGTATGATCTTCACTTTTCTGAGCCGAATTTTGGTCGCGAACGAATTCAGATAGCAAATTGTCATCATTTAATATTTTGTAAAATTCTTGATTATCAGTAGTAATAGCCATGATTGTTGTGTAAGGTTTGTGATAAGAAATATCATAACTTTCTCTCTTTTTATAGTCTAGTTCATACCGTATACTTAATGACAAGACTATTTGAAGATGGAACACTTTTTCAAAGACTATCCGAACAGATCTAATAATTACCTGATCTATCTTTTATCTCATTTTCAGGTGTTTTCTAGTCTCATTTTTTTATGTTATTTTAAATTTTAAGAACTATGCGAGGAACCACTTTATCAGACTCACATCTCTCGGAAAAAAATACTTTGATCACGTAATTTGTGACAGCCCATTAGTCACATGGTAGAACACTTTTTCATTATGGGAACACCAGCTATAATGACACTATGCATTCACAGTGGAACACCTGCTATAGGAACACCCTGGGCTACTAATCATTGCCAAGTAGAATGAGACACCATCTATGTGCAGAGCAAACGACAGAAAAACATACGATAGTCAGTATTAGGGATGTTCGATGCTCGTTAAGAACTTGAACCTCGATTCTCTTGTTTTCGGTTCTTCATCGGGAACCGAAACCGCGGTTTTGTAGACGGTTCCTCTTTTTTAGAACTGAGACTTTTTTAACCATATATAACTTACTACAGTTTTATTTCTTCGTTCTTATAAGATTGTTGCAGATATTCTATAAGAGTCCTATAGGAATCTTATATAAGATTTGATCTCTAGGGCAGGAGTGCAGGATCACAACAGTTAGATCGTTTCTTTTCTTTTTAAAAGAAATTTTATTCTGAAACTGAAAAATAACGTGAAGAAGGGGAGAATAGTACTCTTCTCTTTCTCTTCACGTTATTTTTCAGAATATTTGTGTATATGACCAGGGATGTTCGATTCTGGAACCAAAATGGCGGTTCCGGTTCTCGAACCGCGGTTTGAAGAGAAAGAGAAGAGTACTATTCTCCCCTTCTTCACGTTATTTTTCAGTTTCAG